CTCTTCCGAGTTGTCCAGTCCCGTATTTTCAGCATTTTGATGACAATGTCGTTGCCTTGCCAGCGCCCTTTCCACAACTGCAGGGAGACAGGTGGAGAGAGTCACCATGAGAGGGCCACATGGTCCCCAAGCACCTCCCAGCCCCTTGTGCAGGGCTGTGGGGCCCATGGAGCCCACAGGACGGACAGCTCCACAGCGACGTGAAGCAACTACAACAAAGTGTAAAAGCAAGCCCTGGCCTTCCAGTCCCAGGCAGCCGCCTTCCCTTTGCATGGGCTTGCCCCACGCCTGGATGCAGAAACCCACCAAGCAGCCGTGCCTCAGTTCTGCACTCTGCAGCCAGCCAGGGGCTGGGGAGACAGCAGCGGTCTGCTCGGCTGCAGCTACCCTGTCCTGGGGGCAACAGGCAGACGTACCTCTCCTGACTGGTTCTCATTGAGTTTTTGGCTCAAGCTCAGTTGTTTGAAGTCTATTCCAGCAAGTTTGTTAAGAGTCCCATTTCCTGTAAGAAAAGGAGGAGGTGCAGCTGGTGGCCACGTTGTCCTTCCCCCTGATGTCCACCTGGGACTGCAGAGGGAGGCAGTACCAGTGGGGTGCCTGCCCTACCGGGCAGGAGATCTGTACTCTCCCCTGCCACAGCGTGCCCCATTAGGGAAGGCTCTGTCCTTACTGGGGCGCGTGCGGGTCGTGCCCTTCCAGAAGGTATCCTTGTAGGGGATCTTGGTGAGGCTCTGGCCCAGCTTCTCAGCACGCTCTGGAGAGGGACAAGGAGTTTGGCAGCACGAGCAGAGAGCTCGCTGATGCTGAGCGCAGGGGCTGTGGCAGGAGCCAGAGGCAGGTTGCGGGGTCAGGACAAGAACCTACTACCTTTCAAGACCTCTCTGAGTGGTGTCTTGGCTTTGTCAATGGGTGTCTCACCATATTTGTTAGCAATGCTGACCAAGGCCCCGTTACCCACCAGGTCCTGAGGGAGGAGAAAGTAAGCATCTGTAGAGTTTGCTATCCTCTTCTCAGCCTCTTCATACACACCCAGCCTCCTGCTTCGTCCCTCCTCTTCCTCCCCATGCCCCACTCAGCCACCTCCCTTGCCCTGGACTCCTGCCTGTGTCCAAGTGCTTCCACTCACCTCTGCCACCTGGTCATGTCCCCAGAAGCAGGCATAGTGCAGAGGCGTGTTCCCATGCTCGTTCACGGCATTGATGTCTGCTTTGAACTGGATCAGCTGCAGGGCAGGAGAACAATCCCTGTAAACCTAGAGCAGGTCCCCTTGCACCCAGCACCTTGCCCTGGGAGAGGGCAGGAGCACCAACGGCAGCATGTTTGCTGCCTTGGTGCTGGCAAGGTCTGCTGTTGGGAGGGGGCTGAGACTGGATGCAGGGCTTTTGTGGGGAAGGTGGAGGTGCTCAGAGGCACCAAGGTGGGGATGCAGTAAGCTCACGGCAAGGAAGCCGGCAGGTGACAGTGGGGAGCCAGTCCCAGGTGGACAGGGCGGAGGGCTGCACAGAGTCCTGCTCAGTTTCCCACGGGGCTGCACGAGGTGGGTGCCTGGAAGGCAGCGGAGAAGGGGCAGGGTGCTGGCTGCGAGTGGCAAGTACCTTCTGCACAATGTCGCGGTGGCCGTGGCTGGCAGCCAGGTGCAGCGGGGTGTCATCACCACGGTTCATGACATTGATGCGTGCTCCCCGCATGATGAGCATGTCGACGACGTTGGAGCGGCCCTCACGGCAGGCCCAGTGCAAGGGGCTGAAGCCGTGGTCATCCCTGCAGAGATGGCAAGGGCAGCTCCACTGAGCGGCTGCCGCCTGCCCACTGCATCCTCCCCTGGCCTGGGCAGGGACAGAAGGGCCGAGCACGGCTGGGGTGCTGCTGACAGCAGGGCAGCCAGGTACGTATTGCTCTGCACGCCCGCACACGGGCTGCAGAGGTGACGGGGACAGGCTGAGCAGCTCTCCAGCTCTCTCCCATCCCCACGGGGGCCCCGGAGGCCCTGGCCAAATCCCATCTTCTCCAGGGCTGAATCACAGAGACGCTGGCAAGAGCCAGATCCCCTCCCCCATTCCCCCTCAGCTCTGCCAGTGCCTGGCCAAGTAAGGGAGGAGGCGATCGGCCAGGCCGTAAAAGGAGATTAGGGCCT